GCGGGAGAAAGATGAGGCTTTCTGCTCCTGTAAAGATTTACAGCCTCAGAAACCCTGTACAGGGTCGCTATGGGGTCAGAACCGACTCGACGGCACATAACAACAACAACAACAACAAGGAACATAAGAGATAACCTGGAATTAAATAGTCTGATTTTAAATGTGTTTTATGAGAGAAATTTTACTCTTAATATCACTTTAACTTCGTATTCTTTTTTCTTAGGAGTCTCAACAGTCCAATTTTGGCCCTGGAGAGCAAAGTGAGTATTTCTCTTTTGGTTTTTAAATTAATCTCGTGGGTTGTTTTTTTGTTGTTGTTTTTTAGCATACCAGTTCTCAATGTCACAGCAGATTATGCTTTAATAGTTTTTTATATGTTTTATCCCTGTTTTCATAATCTGATGATTAGTAATGGGCTGAGCTGGATCTTGGTATGAAAATAAAAACCAAGAATTGTAGAGCATTGGAGATCAAAATGATGTTATTTTTATTAACTGTTTGAACTAATAGTTGTAAGTTAATGAATTCCATTTGATGAGCACCTAATAAGCATGTCCTTCATGAAGATGACTTAGTTCTATAATGGTAAAACTCCAGATAAATAGAGATCCTTGTAGTTGATCCTTGGGACTTCCCTCCCTATTTGTTTTTCTTGGGTCTTCTGGTTTGGAAAGAAAGACTGTCCTCTGTGATATACTGCCTGCCCTCACCCTCTTCCCCCTTTCACCTTGGCTGTCTTGGCCTCTTGGAAGAACTTGAAGGGAAGATCACATGTGGGGATTAAAATGTGGTCCCAAGAGATAGTGACTGTGCAGACAAATAGTGGTAAGGTTAGAAATTGCCGTAAATGTCTAGGTTTTACCATGTAGCTTCTATAATAAACAGCTGTTCTCTTTTCCGAGAACAATAACTTCTTATGTGATTCTGGTATATTTAAATCGATGGTCAGCTATTTTGGGAGATGGAAAAGTGAAATTTTTTGGTCCTTGGCTTATGATTCTTGTCTTAGTGATTTTTAAGCAAAGAGGTGAAACTAAAAGAGTATTTAACATTGTTAATGAGTTTCCCTTGACTATATGCCCATTTTTTAGTTCTGCTTTGAAGGTGTAGAGCCTGACATTACAGAAAATAGCTAGGTATAGGCCAAAAAGTTTACCACTGTTTCCCCTCTCTTTTAAGAAAGCCTTATGCTTAATTCTACACCTTCTTGCATTGTTTCTCAAAGCTATTGGCAAATAGAATCATAAGCTATCATTATCTTCTGTTTTTTCAGTTAACTTATTTTGAGATGTTTCTATATTAAAATAAAACTCTAGCTTATTTTTTAAATCTTAAAATTATATATATTGTATGAAAACCAAATTGCTGCAGCCCTATGTGTTTCAGAGTAGAAATTAGCTCCATAGGGTTTTCTTGCCTATAATCTTTGTGAAAACAGACTGCCAGCAATGTATTTAACTAGTCCCCTCTTGGAGACATTTTAAGTTCCTTCTGGTTTTGTTTGTACAGACCAGGTGGAAATAAATGTCCTTGTGTGTCTATTTGTGCAAATGTGTGTATTCCTCCCATTATACCTGTAAAGCAAATTACTTCCATTGAAATTACTTGATTAGTGGATATGTGCATTTTCAGTATTGATAAGATAAATATTGCTAGATTGCCATCAGTAACAATTGTGTGAGTCAAACCAACAGCAAAATCTATATGCCTGTTGCTTTCCCCCTAGCCCTGTGCTTACCAACATCTCATAATTCCAGATTTTAAAGTGTTACAAATTTGATGATGAAAAATTATGTATCATTCATTATTTTAATGAATATTTCTTCATACCAGAGTAGACATCTCTGGTCTAGCACTGTAGGATAAGAATTAGATTGCTAACCACAAGGTTAGTGGTTCAAACCCACCAGCTACTCCTTGGAAACCCTATACAGGGCTGTTATATGTCAGAATCGACATACAGCAGCACTTCAAGGGGGCACTTAAGAACAACAGATATTTTACAGCCAAAACAAGTATACTTCAGTTGCTTATTTCTGTATTTTTTTTGTTCTAGAAAGATATAATCCTTCTTCTAAAACGTCAAATGGACACCAATCTAAATCGTAAGTGTATTTCTTAATAAGTTTAATGTTGGTGTTTTTTTTGCCTTAAGTCTATCTGTAGCTTCTAGGTATTTTGAACAATATATAGAAATATGTACCTAATCCTTTAAAGCAGGGGTAGGCAAACTTTTATGTAAAGGACCAAATAGCAAATATTTTAGGCTTTGTAAGTCAGATGTTTCTGTCCTTACTACTCAACTCTGCCATTGTATTACAAAAGTAGCCAGAGACAATGGGTGTGGCTCTGTTCCAATCAGTAAAATTTTCTTTACAGAACAGGTGGTAGACCAGATTTGGCTCATAGGCTCTTTAGCCTTCTCTAAGGTTACAAATTGGGCTGTGAACCTTAAGGCCAGCAGTTCGAAACTACCAGCCACTCCGCGGGAGACAGATGAAGCTTTCTGTTCCTGTAAAGATTTACAGCCTCGGAAACCCTGTTCAGGGTTGCTATGGGTCGAAACCGACTTGACGGCACTTTTAACAGCAACAACAACAGGATCATGGTGTTGTTTGTTTTGTTTTTCTCATCTTTCAGAGTTGTCTGTGGTTGTGTTCATAGTTTATATTTAATAAAGAAGATATCAAAAAAGACGAGATTTATCTCAGTTAGTCCTTCATTTAACCACTCATTGTAAAATAGTAACCAACATAGTTTGCACTATCTTTAAAGATGATAGTAAGTCAAAAAGTATTGCTACTGGGGAGGGGGGGACGACAGGGGAGCAGTTCATACATGCACAGATTTATTCCAAATAAAACATTCTTATAACTGTCTCTGACATCAGTGGATGGCTGCATATAAGTTCTCTTAGTAATGCACTTGTGTTAACCTCATTTAGGGTGTTGTCAAAAAAAGGGATTCGATCAAAACAGCAGCTTCCGCATGGGATCTACTGAGGCAGTTAAATTCAAGGCAGAGCAATCAGCTCAGAAGGTTATGGTAACTGTCTTTTGGAATCCCAAAGGGATAATCTTGATAGATTTTCTCAGAGACACAGGATGTTTCATGGGAGCTTATGAAGAAGTTTTAAGAAAATGGAAAACTGCATTGGTGGTGCAAAAAAGGCCAGGGAAATTATGTTGAGGAATTTTTTTTTTTTTCAGTATGATAATACATCTCCTCACTTTTCAATGGTAACAAAGGCTGTCTTATGAGAATTTTGTTGACAAGCCTTACGCCATTCACCCTACATTGACATTGTCTCTTCAGACTTCTTTTTATTCCCCAAACTCTAAGAACATTTAAAGGGAACACAGTTTGAGTCTCTCTAGGATGCCCAGACCACTGTTTTTGACGTAATGTAAATCAAAGAGTGCAGAATTCTTCAGGGAAGGGTCAGAAAGATGAAAACATCACCTTCAAAGTTGTAGAGACCTCGATGGAAGAGATGTCAAGAAACAATAGCTTCACATTTTTGTTTAACAAAGATTTCTATGATTTTGTAGCAATATTTTTTTACTTAACTCATGTTAAACAACATAATTTGTAATTTCTTTATGTTTTCCTATGTTTTATATTGTAGGCAGATCCAGGAATATATCTATGTTACAGTTTAATATGGTGGTATGGTGGTTATGTGCCATGAGTCAGTTCTGACTCATAGTGACAGGAGCAGAAAACCTCATCTTTCTCCCACAGAACAGCCGGTAGTTTCGAACTGCTGACCTTGAGGTTCGCAGCCCGATTTGTAACCACTATGCTACCAGAGCTCCTTAATACGGTGATATGTTGTTGTTGTTGTTAAGTGCTATTGAGTTGATTCCGACCCATAGTGACCCTGTATAGGGTTTCCAAGGAGCACCTGGTGAGCTTGAACCACCAACCTTGTGGTTCAAATGACTTTGCAGTCTGATTCATTAGCCCACAATGCCACACCAAGACTCCAATATGGTGGTATAGTAGATAGTAATTCCAGCTTAAAAAGAGCATTTCTGAGCCCACAAGTTAGCTGTAGCCATAGTACCAGCTCTCTGTGACCTAGCCACTGACTATCCTGATAGCCTCAGCCTAATAGCCTCTTCAACTGAACATAGGGAGAACTGAATGAAAATGAAAATATGAAGAGAAGTCCTCCGTAACTGCTGAAGAATTAAAGGGATATTTCTCCTTATCTCTGTTTACTTAAATGCAAAGAACTGATGCATGCCTACCAAATATGTGCTTATCACTTTGGTTGCTGAGGAAACAAAAGCATGCAGGTCCTTGACAGTCTGATAAAAGCCTTGACATACTCACATGTGTAAACTGGCCTATTGAACTGGTGTTAGTAAATCAGAAGGGCTGAGAGAATTCAGAGTAAGTACACTTCTTAGAAAATCAGCCATTGAATGCACAAAGCCCTTGTCAAAATGAAAATTCTTGTTAACAGACCCACTTAATGAACCGATCGTAAAATACTTTTGATAATTCTGTAGTCATCAGATTACTTTATTTCAAAGTAGTAGTTTATGTAGTACTGTGAACTTAGGGTCAGATTTACAAGTTCAAATTAAACTTTGAAGAGAGAGTGTAAGTAGTTATTAGAGTGAGAACAAGTTTCAGTCCCACTGATTGGAGACTGGCATGAAAAGTTAAGAAAGGTAATGGGACTACTTGTCATACAAATGAAAACACTTTTTCTAGTTGCAGTTTTCCTGAAATTTTGTGATAAATTTTCCTTTCCTAAGGCAAGAGATGCTTTATGGTTCATTTCTCAGATTTTAATTTTTAATGATTTTGGTTTAATGGTCCCAAGGAAAATTGAAATACTTAATTTCACTTTCAAAAACAAATTCCAGAAACTACTAGATTATATGTAATATTTATGTGTGTGTATTTTTAAATTGATTTGAATTTTGATCAAGAAAGATTCAGAACCTAGAGTTTTTTGTTTGTTTGTTGTTTTAATTCATAGATGGTCATTTCTGTTATATAACCATGTCTTTTACCCAAAAGTGTTATTTCTGCAGAGTACTTATCTTTTGTAGCAAGGCATTTATGAATTAGAATGTTTACTTGGGAAATTGTTTTGTAATTTTTACAACCACCCAGTTGTCAACAGTTGTACAAATCTCTCTTCATGCAACATTATTGATGTTGTTAGGTGCTGTCAAGTTGGTTCTGACTCAAAATGACCCAGTGTCCAAGAGAAGGAAACACTGCCTGGTTCTGCACAATCCTCACATTTCTTGTTATGTTTGAGCCCATGTTTACAGTCACTGTGTCAATTTGTGACTCTTCCTCTTTGTACTGACCCCAACTTTACCATGCATGATGTCCTTTTCTAGGGATTGGTTCCTCTCTATTCTTCCTTCCAAGGGGCATTCTGGCTATACTTCTTCCAAGACTGTTTGTTGTTCTAGCAGGCCATGGTACTGTCAATAGTTTTTTTATCAACACCAAAATTCAAATGCATCTATTCTTCTACAGTCTTCCTGATCATTTTCTGACTTTCACATGCATATGACTTGATTGATAATACCATGGATTGAATCAGGCACATTATAGTACCTAGAGTGACTTCTTTTCTTTTTAATACTTTAAAGAGGTTTTATGCAGCAGATTAGCCCAGTGCCATATGTCATTTGATTTCTTTTTATTTTTTTAAATGTTTCATTGTGAATTGTGTGATAGTTTACATGGGAGAACATTAGCTTTACATTCATTCTGTCATCTATCATTTCATTGGCATAGTTACCATACTGTCCATGCATCCTCACCCAACCAAAGGGTGTACCCTGTAAGCCTGCACCCCCCTTCAGCCCCTTTCCATCTCCTGATCTCAAGTCCCCAGCCACACCATCTCTTGATGTCGTCTTCTCTGCCTCCATCTCAGGCCTCATTGCTTCTCTGGGTAGGATCCCGCTCTCTGGTTTTCTCCATTGATGGTCCTAGGGTCCTCCGCTCCTAGACTGAAAAGTTAATCACCCCCCTCTTTGCTACAAAATGTCCACTTTTAGATTTCCAACCCTCACAATCAGTCCTAATAACAGTTATTCACCATTGCATCACAAGAGACCCATCTGTATTTCGTTTCATCAGCCCTTCCTGGATAGGCTGGACACTATTCACTGGAGACTCTACCTTCCTCCACGCCCTTTGGATCTAGGTTCCCTCTTGAAAGCTTGTAAGCCAGTCACTTCTTACCTTTGTATCCCTCCCCCCATTTTGGGTAGCCAGTGTCCAAGTTGCCCATCCCTGTCTACCCTTTGTGTGGAGGGGGTGGGAATAGTTCTTGCAGCAGGGATCATTTGATTTCTTGGCTGCTGCTTCCATGAGTATTGATTCTGGATTCAAGGAAAATGAAATCCTTGACAACTTCAGTTTTTTTCTCAATTTATCTTTACACTGAGTTATAATCCATATTGAAGACTGTATTCTTTGATCATCACCAGTAAGTGTACCGAGTCCTCTTTGGTTCAGCAAACAAGTTTGAGTCATCTCATGCACCACTGGGGCAAAGCAAGAAGTGCTTGATACTTTTGTTTTATCTTCTTTCCATTTAGGCATGATTTCTCTCAAATAGATTATTATATGACTATGGTACTCTGTTTTAATAATAAGGAGAGAGAATGAATATGTATGGAACCAAAGAAAAATTAGAGATAACAAAAGTAAATAAAAGAGTTTATAGAAAAGGTGGTGATGGTGTGCCATTGAGTCGATTCCAACTCATAGCAACCCTGTATAGGATTTCAGATACTGTAAATCTTTATGCAAGCATAGCCTCATCTTTCTCCCTCGGAGCGGTTGGTTGATTAGAACTGCTGACCTTGCAGTTAGCAGCCCAACGCATAACCGACCATGCCACCAAAGCTCCCTTTATAGAAAGGTAGTACATGATGGCAATAGCCATCCCGCCATAGAACTTTTTACTCAACTGGTTTCAATAATTCATTGCAGTGACCACACTAAACTCAAGACACCATACTCACAGTTATGGGGTTTATTAGGGAAATTAGCAGGTTACCATTCAGGGTCAGAAATGCTCAGGGTACAGTTCTTCCCCTCAGAACAGCCTTTTCTCATCTGTGCCTACACAAAGCCCACTTTCTGCCTGGCCAGTGTTACAAAGCTCTTTTAGGGCTGCTGATAAATGCCCATAAAACACACCATTCCACCTAGTCCCCCTTTCTTCCAGTTAAGTGCCTGGACACATCCCCATTCCATGAGGAAGTCTCCTGCCCTAATTCACTCAGCTTTACTTGTTCTGTGAGCTGGGAAGCCCACTGCTCTGGCTCTTGGATCTACTGCTGCTGCTCCTCTGCCGTTCCTCCTATGTCATAGCTTTCTGTCCGTGGGTCAAGGAAGTTCAATGCCCAGGGATCTCTGGGTGGTGAGATCCCTCTCCTGCCTCTGAGATAGCTCATTTTAAACCCACATTGGAGTACCATGTTTTCACAACTGCAGTGAACTCTGTTGTCATCTGCAGCTGAGTCTTGACATCCTGTCAGTATCTCCTCCCACCTACTCTTACCCAGACCCATGAGGAAAAGAATCATTGGGCAGGAGGTACAAGGACTAATGCTAGAAGAGACAGGCTAAAAAATTCACTACACCATGGGCAGATTTTGTTTAATTTAAAAAGAAAGATGACTGTTTTATGAAAAGGATTGAGCGTGTGAAATGGATAAATTCTCCTTTTTCTATTCTGGATATGTTTTGTTTTACAACTAAATCTCTGGCTACCAACGGATTGCTCCTGGAATTATTGGTAGAAAATTTAATACTCTGGTATACCATTATACATAGTTCCCAAAATAATAATCCTTTCTGCCTTTTCCCTCTAGTATGTTAAAAGATGACTTAAAACTAAGCAGCAGTGAAGACAGTGATGGGGAACAGGTGTGTGTACCACTCTGTGATTTTGCCAGCCTCATACAGTATTTGTTTCATTATGTTTTATAAGAATTTATAACTAATTCATATATGATCTAGTTATTAAATATACATTTCTTCCTATAAGCTTTCTGATACTGTAATGTTGTGGGTTTCTGTTCTTTTTTTAAAAAAAAAACCCTTCAGTTTTTCTTATTTTTAAAAAACTGGCTTTTCCTGAATACTTCTCATGGATCAGCTGTACTCATGAAGCATGGCCATTGTTGACAAGAAGAAATGTTACCAACAAAGCTGTTTATCCTATCCTGGCAGTTCAATGATTCTTTAAGTAAAAACATTATGTCATAACTATTATCAATTAAATACTGATGCACACATGACAGAAGATAGTTTTTATATTAAGATTTCACCTATTGTTCACATTAAGCAGACAGAGCGCTATTTATTCATTCTCAGATTTCCTTCTCATGCTTTAATTTTAGGATTGTGATAAGACAATGCCAAGGAGTACACCAGGAAGGTAGGCTTCCTTTTATTGTTTATTTGTTTTTGGAGGATTGGAGTCAGTCAGATGACATTGTAGCAATGTAAGTGGCCTTATTAATAATAAGCTTATTAATTGTGATGATGATTCAACAGCGTAGAAGTCATTTGGAGTCCTAGTGTGGCACTGCGGGTTAATATGCTGGACTGCAAAGTCAGCTTGGCAGTTCAAGGTTACCAATCGCTCCTTCGAAACCCTATACAGGGTCACTATGGGTCTGAACTGACTCAATGACACTTAACAACAAAAGCCCTTTAGTTGTATACTTAACATGGATGAATTTTATGATAGGTAAATTATAACACAATAAAGCAGTTTTTTTTTTTCAAGTATTATATAGCTTAAAGTGGCCTTGGTGGCACAATGCTTAAGTGCTCAGCTGCTAACTGAAAGGTCAACAGTTTGAACCCACCAGTGTGTCTCTAAAGGAGAAAAGACCTAGTGGGTTTCCTCCCATAAAGCTTTCAGCCTAGGAAACTCTATGGGACAATTTACTCTGTCCTGTAGGGTCTCTCTGAGTTGGAGTTAACTTGATGGCACAACAACAGCAGCATTACAGCTAAGCAGCACATCAGAAATTTTGTAAAGGACTTCATTTCATTCATGATGAAGTTCTAGATTCATAGAATTATAATAACTTAACAGATAGTGAAACTTTTAAAATAAAGTTAATTAGTAATTTAGATTTATTCCTGTCGTTACTGTTTAAAAACCTTTTGGTGATTTTTGTGTTTTATCTTTTTAGTAACTCTGAACCTTCACACCATAACAGTGAAGGAGCAGATAATTCCAGAGATGATTCAAGTAGTCACAGTGGATCTGAAAGCAGCTCTGGATCTGATTCAGAGAGTGAAAGTAGTTCCAGTGACAGTGAAGCAAATGAGCCATCCCAAAGTGCATCTCCTGAGGTGAGAGAGAGGCAGCAGGCCTCTTCCGCAGGTCCTCTCAAGGCCTCTGGTGACATTTAGTTAAGAGCTGATTCAAACATAAAAGATGAAGGAAAGAAGGTTATATATCAGACACAAAGAAGTGAAACTGTGTGTCTTGGAGGAGACCCAGATACTTCAGTTTCCCTGTTACTTAAGTAAATATTTGGATCTAGATCAGGAACTGCTTGAGGTCATATTGCAAGGCACTAAAATATTGGGTTTCTTAAGTTTGGGCTTTACTTTTTGTGTCTCAACGTGGCAATTCAGATTTTTTTGTTATTGTGGGTCAAAACGAGCTTTTGTATAGTATAATTTTACTATAACTTAAGAAAATGTATTATTTATCATTTGTTTTCTTTCAGGAATTAAATAGATTAGTTATTTGTAATAATACCTTTGAAGTTGGCTTCCTGACAAGAATATTTGCTTTTTAAAGACCATATATGACATTAAGCTTATCTTTTCATTCAAATGATTACAGCTAGTAGTCAGTATTCAGGCTTTTGTTCTGTATCAGTCAAAATCATTAACCCTTTCTTGTTAAATAATACTTTTGTTGCATTAGGCATTCTATTTTTTTCTTCTTCCTTGAGATTGTAGAAGAGGAGGAAAGCTTTAATATCAATAAAAGCATAATTGTTTCTGTTTACAGCCTGAACCACCACCAACAAACAAATGGCAACTTGATAATTGGTTGAATAAAGTGAACCCACATAAAGTTTCACCAGCTTCTTCTGTGGATAGTAACATTCCATCGTCTCAAGGCTATAAAAAGGAAGGCCGAGAACAGGGCACTGGGAATAGCTACACTGATTCAGGTGGACCTAAAGAAACAAGTTCTGCTACTCCTGGACGAGACTCCAAAACTATCCAAAAGGGATCAGAAGGTGGACGAGGGAGGCAGAAGTCTCCTGCACAGAGTGACAGCACAACACAGAGGCGAACTGTAGGCAAGAAACAACCCAAAAAGGCAGAGAAGGCCACTGCTGAAGAGCCTCGTGGAGGCCTAAAGATAGAAAGTGAAACCCCAGTTGACATGGCTTCCAGTATGCCCTCCAGCAGACACAAGGCAGCCACCAAAGGCTCAAGGAAACCCAATATAAAGAAGGAGTCCAAATCTTCCCCTCGACCTACAGCCGAGAAAAAGAAATACAAGTCAACAAGTAAATCTTCCCAGAAATCAAGGGAAATCATAGAAACAGATACCTCATCCTCAGATTCGGATGAAAGCGAGAGCCTTCCTCCTTCTTCACAAACTCCTAAGTACCCTGAGAGCAGTAGGACTCCAGTTAAGCCCTCTTCAGTGGAGGAAGAAGACAGCTTTTTTCGGCAACGAATGTTCTCTCCTATGGAAGAGAAGGAACTTCTTTCACCCCTCAGTGAGCCTGATGACAGGTATCCACTTATTGTGAAGATTGACCTGAATCTCTTGACTAGAATACCAGGAAAGCCTTACAAAGAAGCTGAGCCGCCCAAGGGGGAAAAGAAAAATGTGCCAGAAAAGCACACGAGAGAGGCCCAGAAACAAGCCTCAGAAAAGGGTTCCAACAAAGGCAAGAGGAAGCATAAGGTTTGTAAAGGGTTTTGTTGTTGTTTATTTTTAAACCTCAGAATCTGAAACACTATGAAAATACCCAAAAGCTGCAATATTACTAGATGATTCATGAGTTGTGAGGGGGAAAAAAAATCGAGTCCCAGGCCTAGCTGAGGCTATATGTGGAGCAGTCCCTTGAGGAGCATAATGTCTATGCATCCTTGAGTTGAATGGATCATTTCTAATTGAATAAGATTAGGATATGTTTTAGTCACTGAAGAGGTGAGAGAAAAAGATTGCAAACTGCCCCTCAAATTTCCTCAAATTTTTGTGTAAAGTTCTTTAGTTGGGATATGTACTCTCTAGGTTGTCACAATCCCTGTCTCTTTCATGTCTTAAACCCAAACCAGTGCACACTTTTAAGATTACCACCTAACCTGCATTCCAGCTAAAAAATGAACCCATGGATTTTGACATGTTCATAAGAATTTCACCAATTCACTGCACATATCTAGTTCTCATCCTTAAATACTACCAAAGTAATTTGTACTTAGAGACAAAACTTGATGCACTTTTAAGGTCAGCTGTTTGTTTTTTTTTTTTTCTCAAGTTTTTGTTGTGGTTTGAGTGAAAGTTTACAGAGCAAATTTTTTTTTTTTTTTTTTTTCATGTTCAGCAGTTCATACCCATTTTGTTTTGTGGCCCCCAAATGTAATTGCACTCTTCCCACTTACTCCCTGTGCATCCCTGTGCTTACCATTTCCCTTCATTATTCTTCCCTATCTCTTCCTGCCTCCTGAGCTTTCTCTCTGGGCAAATGCTGCCCTTTTTATCTTGTATGGCCGATTATCCTAAGGCATGCATAACTCTCTATTGATGTGTTCATCTTGTAGACCTGTCTGTTGTTTAGCTGAAGTTAAGCTACTGTGGTGATTTCAGATCCAGGCTTGGTGGGTGTCTAAAGGCTTAGGGATATCACCAGTCTATCAGACCAGTAATCCTGGCCTTTTTTATGATTCTGAATTTTGTTCCATGTTTTCCTACCACTCAGTCCAGGACCTACTTTTGTGATCCCTTTCAGAACAATCAGCAGTGCTGGCTGGGCAACATCTAGTTCTCCTGGTCTCAGAGTCATGGAATTGGGTTCACGTAGTCCATTTGTTTTTTGGACTGTTTCCATGAGTCTTTGATTTTCTTCACTTGTCTTTGCCTCTGGACAGGGAGACCAATAGTTGCAGCTTAGACGGCCACTCACAAACTTTTAAGACCCAGCCACTACTCACCAAAGTAGAATGTAGAACATTATTTTTGCCAATTGACCTTGTTGTCCTACAAGACTATGGTCCTGAGCCAGCCCCTAAGCCCAACAACTCATTCCCTCAAGGTGTTTGATTATGGCAAAGAAGTTTTCATAACTTTGCCCCTTGTTTGCTCTACTATATTCATAGATATATTAATAACCCATATAATTACACATGAAGAAATAGCCTGTCAAACCTATATATGTATTTGTATGGCGCTGTGGGTTAACTGCAAAGTCAGTTGTTCAGACTCACCAACTGCTGTGGGTCACTCTGGGTCAGAACTGATTGGACAGCACCTAACAGCAACATATACATATACATATATATATAGTGGTGGTCACTATGAGTTGGAACTGACTCCACATATGAGCACATATATACATATATATGATCAACTTTTTTTTAACGTAGGAAATAAGAAAACTTGTGGATATCTGTGATTGTAGAATAAAGGTCATATACTGAAAAGAGCTAAACAGCTACATATATAGACAGGCTCTTTGGGGCAAAAAAAAAAACAGCTTGATTTTTCTTTAACTTATGGTGAGGACTTTTAGAGAATAACAGATTTTAATAATCTGTGTTGAAGAATACAGATTGATCTATATTTGTGAATGTAACTATAAAAAGGTAGAAAAGTTAAGTTTGAGATAAATGTACAGATGAGTATCAGAGTGGCCTCACCACGGGAGCTCAAACACAGGTCCCAATTGGCCTGAGAGTCACACATAAGATAGAGAAGTTAGAGCATTTTCTTAAAGGAAGTAAGCCAGAGGCTTTCTCTCTCCTTTTCTGAAAGCGACAGTATTATCCACAGATAATATATATTTAGAAAAACTAGGGTAATAATTTCTAGAAAACCAAAGCTTATTCCTTTCCACCTGACATAGTTAATGTTAGGTGCCATCGAGTCAGTTCCAACTCATAGCAACCCTATACACACAACAGAATGAAATAGTGCCTGGTCCTGTGCCATCCTTAGAATACTTGCGCTTGAGCCCATTGCTGCTTCCACTATGCCAGTCCATCTCTTGGGGGAGGGGGGGGGTCTTCCTCTTTTTTGCTGGCTCCTCTTCTAAAAGGACCTCATATGACCTCCACTTCCCTGTTCAATACGTATATAGCAATACCTACAGGTCAAATTGTGATTTTGTAAAATGTATAACACTAGGAAACTCAGTGGTATGTTTCTGAGATTTATGGCTTTGGTGAAATACAGTGTTCAGAGACAGTTTCTACAGAAAAAGCAGGTGGTGCTGAGAAGGGGACACACTCAGGGGTACTAAAGAAGGATGAAGCTTCCATTCTCTCATGCCTTCATTTGTCTGTCATCATTTTATGTATTATGACAGATTATTCATATTCTTGTACCTTGATATTAAAAGTTATAGGAAAATACCTAGATTCACTTAGGAAAGTTGTATTGGAAATTTTAGGTGGACCCATAGCTTACCTTTTCAGACAAATAGTTTTTCAAAATGATTAGGCCAAATTGGCTACAATAAAAATGATAGATAATAGCAGGTATTGGTAAGAATGTAAAGAAATTGGACCCTTATACCTTGCTGATAGGAGCCCAGGTGGCGTTGTAGGATATTAGATTACTAACCACAAGGTCTTAGAAACCCTAGATAGGATTGCTGTGAGTCAGAATTGATTCCATGGCAGTGAGTTTGGAGTTTGGTTTGATTTACCTTGCTGGTGGGAATGTAAAATAGTACATTCAACTGCTTTGGAAAAGAGTTTAGCAGTTCCTCAAAAAGCTAAGCATAGAAGTTACCCTACAAACCAACAATGTCATTCCTAAGGTGTATACCCAAGAAAAATGAGAACATACGTCCTCATAAACACTGTACCCAAATGTTCATGGCTGCATTATTCATACTAGTCCCAAAATGGAAACAACCCACATAGCCATCAGCTAATGAATGGATGAATAAAATGTATTATATCTCTACAAAGAAATACTATTCAGCAATAAAAAGGAATGACCTAATGACACATGCCTATAACATATGAACTTTGGAAGCATGATGGTAAGTGGAAGAAGCCAAACAATAAGATGACATAGTATATGTTGGTTCCATGTATATGAAATATTCAGAATAGGCAAATCCATAGAGATGGAAGGGCAGAGTAGTAGTTGCAGGAGTTTGCAGGGGAGGGTTAGTGTCGGTGACTGGTAATGGGTACAGGGTTTCTTTTTGGAGGTGATGAAAATGTTCTAAAATTGTGGTGAGGAGAAATGCACAAGTCAGTGAACATGCTGTGGTGTACTGTAGGATCAGCACTGGACTACAAACCACAAAGTCAGCTGTTCAAATCTACCAGCTGCTGTTCGGAAACCCTATACAGACAGGGTCTCAACAGCACTTAACAACATTGAGTTTAAAAGGGTGAATTTTAATTTGAATAGTGAATTATGAGTTAGTTTTTAGTCTAATTGTAAATTATATCTCAATTAAAATACAATGGACAATACCCCCAGAAAGTATCAGTGGCTGACTGGCTATGTGCTTGTTGAAAGGAAATCTGTTTTCAGTATTTGAGCTTTAGGTTTCTAAAACAGAAAACCCTTATTTATTGAACATTGCCTAAGCAACAGTGTTCAAACATTTTTGTAACGTGTAACAGGGACAAACTGTTTGAGAATGACTACTGTTGGAAACTGAGGTAAAAGTCAGACCTAGTAGCTGCTATTCTGTTTTTCACACAGAATGAAGATGACAGCCGAGCCAGTGAGAGCAAGAAACCCAAAACGGAGGATAAGAATTCAGCAAGCCACAAGCCATCCAGCAACAGAGAGTAGGTTCCCAAACATATTACATGCAAGTGTCATTAGTTATATGTATGTCACTTGCAACTGGGTACTTTCTAACAGGCTCTTTGAGTGTTCCTTTAGTAAGTACACACATGAGTACATACACCAAAATAGTGAGAACGTTTGCTTTTAGCTCATAGGGCTTGGAATGATTTAAGATTTAATCACTTCTTCCTCTTTCATTTTTTTACTGGGATAAGGCTAAGCATGGGATAAGAAATAAGCTTAAGCATTAACCACTTTCTGGGTAGATGGCAAGCTTATCTAGAACAAGCAAGAGACTAGTTGCTAACTTGGGAACATTAATCTTTTTATTTACCATTAATCCACTTGTCAATTCAACAAATATTTATTGAGTACTTATTGTGTGTGTATGCCTTATTTTAGGCACTGAGTATGGGGTCAAGGCCATGGTAGGAGTTGTGGGGGTGGGAAAGGTAGACAGATAAGATGCCTACCCTCATGGAAGTTACAGTTTTAACTTTTTTACAGAAACTCTGTGTCTCAATAATCAAGTAGGGGAAAAACAAATTTGTCTTGTAAGCAGGAATGGAAAAATCTACCACACCTCTATATTACTATATGGAGAAATGAGGGCATTTGTTTGGTTTGGCAGGTCATCTAAGCAGAGTGCTACAAAAGAAAAGGATTTGTTGCCTTCTCCTGCTGGTCATGTTCCTTCAAAAGATGCCAAAACAGAGCATGGCTCTCGGAAGCGAACTATTAGTCAGTCTTCTAACTTAAAGCCAAGCAGTAATAGCAACAAGGAGAACAGTGGCAGCAGCAAAAGCAGTTCGTCCACATCAAAGCAGAAGAAGACTGAAGGGAAGACTTCCAGTAGCTCCAAGGAGGTCAAGGTAAGGTGTAGGGGCCTGACCCTTTTAAGAATAGCTCAGAGTAGGAAAATTGGTTAGGAAAGTTTTTGTAGTAAGAATGTGATCTAAATTGAAATGGCTCTATTTATTAAGATTGAGTTCTTATCTACACTTTGTTTGAAACTGGTGTTGAGTTTTTTAGAATTAAATTTTACAAATAGATTCTTTTACATACAGTGAGAAAGCATCCATTAGGCTTTGATTCATATAATAGAAAAAAATATTTAATTGACCTTGTAACAGAATTATTCCTGGAGCATGGTTTACAATGTAGTGGAATATTCTACGTCTTTGTGGATAGGAAATTGGATCGGAGAAGCTTTTTCAAGGCTATACTTTAATATAAAAACTCTCACCCTCAGCCTATTTACCACATTATTTGTATTGCTTTCAAAACTGTTACAATCAGGAAAAGCTCCCTGAAACCAGAGTACATAAGACAAAATTAAGAAAATACCTAGATTTTTAGGACTATAGTTCAATAAATTATTATTTGTGACTTTTGTAAGCAAAGGTGTAAAAGTTAAAAGGTAGACAGTTTTAAGACATTGTTCTTAAGTACCTTCGAGTCGGTTCCGACTCATAGCAACCCTATATAGGGTTTCTGAGAAGCGTCTAGTTTAAGCCAGTAATCAAGCTTTTAAATGTGATCATGAAATGTTTTAAACTGAGTTCATTTGAATTCTGAATAATTTCACAGATTGAGATACACAGGAAGCGTTTCTCCAGCTGAACAATCTTCTGCAGTTATCAAGAGAATTATCCCTGGTGTCTTTAGGAACCTGGCTGTTCCTTCACTGTCCCAGTTCTCCATCTGACAGCTGACTGGCTCTTCCTCCATTTCCCATCCTTTAACTGTAGGATTTTAGAAGTCCATGCTTGTTTTTAAAGACTTTTACCTTATTTTTTTTTAAAAAAGTATTCACTTTATGAGCTCATCTGCTCATTTGGCTTCTGCTATCTCATACATAAAAATCATCGTCTCTTCCTACCTTGTTTGTCAGCTTCCTGAAGGCAAGAAATTGTGTCTTTACTAATTTTTTGTTTTGTAATATTCTTACCTCACTGGGTAATCTGGAAATATTTGTCAGATTGAATATAGTTAGTCATGTGGTACAATGTTGTAATTGACAAACTATAAAGTAGGCTTGCCCACTTTGATTTCAAGATCATAGGCACTTAACAGTTATTAAAGTAGTTAATGTTAGTCTTGATAATATTCAATTTAGGCAATTACATATGAGTTTGTTAAATAAAAATCTAATTTATTAAACGATATGCTATTTTTTTTTATTACATCAACTTTTTAAAAAATTAGACAATCTGGAAAACCCAAATCACAAAAAATTTTTAGATTTTTTTAGTGAAACCAGTGAGAACCAAAACTTGACAGGACTGCCTTGTTTTTCCAGACCTCCCAAGTTTTCCATCTTTATTATAATAGTCTTACCACTTTTCTCCTGTTGCTTGTTTTAATGGAAAATATCTGAGTTTTCCTACTCGGACTGGTTTACGCCTTTAACAGGCTCCAGCTTTCACAGGTTTTACTGTATAAGAAAATGGGTATTGTAATATTTGGAAAATTCTTTTTCTTATTTTCAGAAAACTCCAGTTTCCCTCACACTTAGGCACCTGTTGGTCTATTTATAAAGCATAGAGAGGAAACTACCTTAGTAGTGTTATATTGCAACATAACATTGAGGAAATCATTGTATAAACATACAAACTTTACTATAAAGAACTTAGTGTTTTCTCATATCTCAAGACTCTGATTTTCTCCTTGAACGGTAAGCTCTAGTGGAAGGAACTGAAAAACTTATTGTACAGGAAAAGAAAAAATAAGTTCAGTGGTTCCCTTTAAATAGATTTTAAGCAAAAAGAGTAAAATTATGTTATATATTCATGGATATTCAATATTAACATATTCATGGAATAAGTTCTACTTGTTATGATAATATAGTATGAAGATATATATTCAGTTTAATTATTAAAGATTTGGTTGGATGGAGAAACTTTGGGAAAGACCAGATGAAGTTTAAGAAAGAGGCTGGGCTTTGAAATTGGACAGATCTGGATTTAAAACCCACACTCCAGGACTGTCACTTAAAAGTTGCTTGAACTTAGGCAAGTTACACAATCTTTTCGTGACTGCTTTTTATTCTGTCCTGATAGATGCACCTACATATTTCATAGGGCTCTTGAAGGATTAACACCTGTGTCTAAGTACTTCATTAACATAGAAGCTGGCAAGTATTAAGCCCACAGTAAACAGATCTGATAACTGTTCATTTTCATTGACCAGTAATTACCAACAAATTTTGCCCTAAATAATACTGACATTTAATATTAGGTGTGTGTATTCTTTATGTTCTAATTGACATATGTAATGCCTGACATATGGAAGACCCATTATAAAGTTATTGTTGTTGATAAGTGCCATCATGTCGGTTCCTACTCATGGCAGCCCTGTACAGGGTGTCCAAGGAGCAGCTGGTGGAGTTGAACCACCAACCTTGTGGTTCGCGTTCCATTGCTTATCCTATAGTTCCACACCATAACTAAAATTTAAAACTATATTTTAAATATAGAATGAACATTTTAGTTATGTAAAATGGACCCTTTCTGTAAAAGGAAGTTTATGTTCTAAAATTTTAAATATTTTATAACAAATAAATTATCAAAGGCAGTAAAATTTCATTCGCTTTTGACCACTAACATTTTACTTTTAGTTTAATCTTTAATTTCCTCACAATTTCCAACATTGCTGTATAATTTTTTTTTTTTTTTTTTTTAAATCAGGATAAGGCTCCAAATAACTCTTCTAACTGTCCGCCATCTACACCAACTCCTGATGCTTCTAAGCCTCGGAGAACAAAGCTTGCTTTTGACGACAGGTGAGAGAAACATGATTTTAAAAAATGCATTTTAAGAAATTGTTCTGGTCAGCAGATGAGCACCTCATTTTCATTTCTGTCAATGACCAGAAGAAGTGATACTTGTAATGTATTGTGATCCATAGAAAGGCACACACTAGCCCAATACTGCTCTTTTAAGTTAAACTCCATGGTTCTCATAGGGGATATGAATGTACAACCTTACTGGTTTTGATATCACTGTTGAAAACATGTGAATTTCTTTGATAAGAAAGGACAATTTTGTCGGCCCTCTCCCAAATCTTGATAACAGGTTATTTTCCAACCCTTATTTTTATTTACTCTAATCTTTGAAACAACTTGGGTAAGTTAGTATTAAATACTAAGGAACTTTATTTCTGTTTTTTAAGTAGAAGATCTTACCATGAGTTGGCCGAGATATTTTCTGCTCTTAAATGGAAAAAAACAAAACACAACTGGAACTTTAGTAACAGCACACACACTGTCTTTATTTGAAGATGTGAAAGCCAAGGGATGCTAGAAACTAATATGAACTAGTCTTATCTTATGAAAATATTTACCAGTTTATTTTTAATAAAAATTTAACATTACAGAAATTACTCAGCAGACCATTATTTACAAGAAGCAAAAAAGCTAAAGCACAATGCAGATGCATTGGTAAGTAAATACTCTTCTTACATTTAATATATTTAATCAAGTTTACATAAGTCCTCATTTGTTGTTTGTAGCTATGGTAGATCTGTCAGCTCTCACTACCTTTATTCTCCTTTTTTCAGTCTGATAGGTTTGAGAAAGCAGTATACTATCTTGATGCTGTGGTATCTTTCATTGAATGTGGGAACGCATTAGAGAAAAATGCTCAGGAATCCAAGTCCCCATTCCCTATGTATTCAGAGACAGTGGAGCTCATCAAGTAAGTGGAAAGACTTATCACACCATTGATAGTAACGTTACTTTTCTGGTCCATCTGGGAAGGGGCTGAATAACTATACACAGTCAAGCTGAAGACAGTACTTAATCCTTTATTGTCCTTGGGAAGATATTTCAATGGATAACTTTGCCTTTATGCAGGTCAGATTCTAAATTTGAGGACAAAGGAAACTGTAAGATCAAGATGAGTAAGATCAAGATGAAGTGTATTGTATTCTGCTTTTCATTTGTTTGTCATTTTAACTCACAGATACACTATGAAGCTAAAGAATTACTTGGCTCCAGATGCTACAGCTGCAGATAAAAGACTCACAGTACTTTGGTAAGTATGCTTCTGTTGGAACCACTGTTAGATGACTGGTAAATAAATTCTACTGTGTATTCGCTTCTGGGAGTTACTTTTGATTCAATCATATAACGTAAGGTGTGCATACCTCCCTAGTGTTATTGTTCCCCTTAGAGACCTGTCTGTTGTTGGATAAAAATTGAATCATGAGGATGATTTCATTTCCAGATCTTAAGGGTGACTAAGGGCCATAGTCTCAGGGGTGTTTGTTTTTAAATTTTAGATTACTTATAACCTGATCAAACTTTTATTGTTCAAGGAAGCTTCAAAAAGTTCATGGAAAAAGTCCATGATTTTTTTATTTAATTTTTCCATGAATTTTTTGAAGCCCCCTTGTAAATTACTATGTAGATTTTCAATGGCCTCTAATCATTGATCCATTGTTCTGGTGGTGCAGTGGTTAAGCATACAACTGCTAACCAAAAGGCCTGCAGTTCAAATCTACCATCTGTTCTATTGGGAAAAAAATGCTTCAGTCTGCTTCCATAAAGATTATGACCTTAGAAGCCCTATGGGGCAGTAACTGCTCTGTCTTATAGGGTTGCTTTAAATCCAGATGGACTGGACGGCAGTGGGCTTGGTAATCCTTGGCTCTTAGCCATCTTTTCCTCCATACGTTGTGTACACCATAAGACATGTCTTTGGGTTTTGCTTAAGGGTATGTATGAGCTGTTGACCTTATGTCAGGATCTGTTCACATGAGTTAGCCATGAGTCAAGAGTTGCTTGTGTAGATGTGACCAGAGTCTAATGTCCTGGTAAATCAGCTGCCTTCTTTCCATTGGCTAGCCTACGATGCCAGTCATTGCTGTACCTGAGGCTATTCAAACTAAAGAAGGAGAATGCTCTGAAGTACTCAAAGACACTGACAGAGCATCTGAAGGTAAGTGTTTAAAATAGGGAAGTATATTTCCTAGGAGATAAAGCTTGTAAAGTCCACTACCCCTGCCCTGGAAGTGCCTTCATACCTACCCACGGCTACTATTTGTGAACTTTTCCAAGAACCTCAGGTTTTAAAATCTATGGTAAATACATGTATTGCAGAATCAGTAGAGCTATATGCAACAGTTGTTCATAAAATTTCAGGCGATTTTTATTATGAAACGTAATTTATACTTTTAAAATGATCTTTTGTTTTCACTACCATCCTTCTTTACACTGTTACCTTAGAAGGTATTTCTAAATACCTTCCTATGTTTTTCTTGACACTACACATATATCTTCTTAAATTCTCTCTCTAATCATACTTGGAACTCTTCTGTAGCTTTCCATTCCTGCAGGGTCAGGTCTAAGCTCCTGACCCTGACTTGCAAGGCCTTCAAGTCCCACTCTTGTTCTTTGTCTAAATCTCTGCGAGCCAAACTGTATCTGGACTATATATATTCTCTTTACTGCAGACTTTACACATAATATGGCTTACCTTTCTATACCCTTTTTATCTGAGTGTTGCATATTCTTCTCTGTCTCATCTGTAAAGTCTTCTAGAACACCCCAGGTCTCCACTACATAAATTCTTTCTGCACATTTTCACAGAGACACTCCAGTACACACACACACACATTTTGTTCTCTTAGATTTATAAAGCTTCTTGAGATCAGTTCTGACCCAGTGCTATGAAATACATTTAGTACTTCATAATTAGTGGTGTTTTTTGTTTGTTTTTATTAATTGCTTTTTTTTTTTTCTTCTTCACAGAATTCTTACAATAATTCTCAAGCTCCATCACCTGGCTTGGGAAGGTAGGTAAAATTTTATTCTATAAAAATACCATTTGTGGCATATGTTTGTTTATAATATTATAAAAGTAAAATGAGTAGAATACAATTTCTAAAGATAAATACATTTATAGTATAAGTATTTTAATGATCTCTATCCTAGAAGTGATCGTTTCTTTCAGCTTTATTTTTTTAGTAAGTTGAAAGTATAAATGAATAAACTTTTAGAAAGGTTAGACATGGGAAAATTCACCTGCAAAAATCTTTTGAGTCTTCTACAAGAGGACCTCATCTTCTCACAGTCTGGTTTCTATAATTATTTGACATTTATTGCCATCAGCTTGAACTCCCTGGTGTGGTACTGTAGAATCAGCACTGAACTACAAACCACAAGGTCAGCAGTTCTAACCTACCAGTTGCTCCTTGGAAAGTACATAGAGTCTATATGAGTCAGAACCCAACTTAATGGCACTTAACAACCAGGACCCCTAGTGCAGATAACTTTTCCTAACTTTTGTTCAGTTTTCCTTTTCTTAATATTATATGATCATAGTCTTAGGCATTTATACAAATTTTCATATTCCTGAAATGAATGTCAGATTTCTACATATTTGTGTTCTAAGAAATATTTAAGGCACCCTGTTGGCACAGTGGTTAAAATGCTCAAACTGCCAACTGAAAGGTCAGCAGTTTGAACCCCCCAACCACTCCACTGGAGAAAGATGTGGCAGTCTGCTTCTGTAAAGATTATAGACTTGGAAACCCTAGGGACAGTTCTATTCTATCCTATAGGGTCACTAGGAGTTGTAATTGACTTGATAGCAAGCAGTATGTTGGGGTAAGAAATAGTTGGAAGGAAATCTGAGCTATATACCTCATTGTCAGCTTTGGATAATTTGATTAAACTAGGAAATTGCCAGTAATTTTGGAGCTCACAGTAAAATGTTTATACTTATCATCACAAATTTTTGGGTTAATTGATAACGCCACCTAATCTTTTGCAACACAATTTGAAAAATACCTAATTGTGTGCTCAAATAATTGGAAAATGTGTTCTACTGTGGATGTGGAGATCTGATTTGTGAGTTGTTGAACTGCTGCCAACAAGGTGTGTAACTTTAGTTATTTCCCATTTCGTGATCTGTTGCCATTCCTTAAAACAAAGGATCTAGATAAGATCATCATTCACAATGGCCTTTAGTGAGGTAAATACTAATTTAGAGGAAAATGTACTTCTCTCAGAACACTTCTAATTTAAAATAATCTTTAATATTTTAGTGTAAGGTTTTCATAACGTTTACCATATTATATGAACAAACAAACTTCCTGTTCTCTCTGTGTAGCAAAGCTGTTGGGATGCCTTCCCCTGTGTCTCCAAAACTGTCGCCAGGCAATTCAGGAAATTACTCTTCTGGAGCCAGTAGTGCTTCAGCAAGTGGTTCTTCCGTGACCATTCCACAGAGGATCCACCAGATGGCAGCCAGCTATGTTCAGGTTACATCCAACTTCCTCTATGCCACTGAAATTTGGGACCAAGCTGAACAGCTTTCCAAAGAACAAAAAGGTAGGTAGATCTTTGAAAGAAGGTTGATTGAGGAATAGAATTAATTAAAAGGAGTTTTCATAATCTAATTAAATAAGTGTCTGATCGATATTTCCACAGTTTAGCCAGTCCTATTTCATGTAACCATATAATAGAAACAAACTTTTCATGATACTGATGATATAAGTGAAACTGAAAATAATTCTTGGTCTAGAACAAATGCACTTTGTTTTCTGGCACTTTAAATATAGCTCATATTATCCTAGAGAAGAACATATGAGGGACTTTAAAAAGTTTATGGGAAAATGGAATTGAAAGATAGGACATTTGTCCACGAACTTTTTTAAGTCCCCTCATACATTTTAATCCTGGTGTGGTGCTGTAAGAGAAACCTGGCAGTGTTTTGTTCTGCTGTGCATAAAGTCGCTATGAGTCGACACCGACTCGATGGCACCTAACAACTAACTGCAAGGTCAGCAGTTCAGACCCTAGGAAACCCTATTACAGGATTGTTATGAACCAGAACCAACTATATGGCACTTAACAACAATAACTTGTAAATATTAAAATATATGTTCTGTAGGATTGTTAACAGTAGTTTGCCTGAAGTCTGAGGAGAAACTTACACGATAACATAAATAGATCTTGTCAGTCTTTAACATTACGCCACTGAAGCTTTTTGTACATTATTATTTTCCTAACTAAGGACATAGGAAATTATATAATATTTAAAGATTTTAAATAAGTTGTTGTCAGGTGCCATCAAGTCATTTCCAACTCATAGTGACCCCATGTGACTATAATCTACAGCAGGAGATTGCTGGGTCTTTGTCTTGCTGGGCCATTGGACGAGTCCAAACTGCCAAGCTTTCAGCAGTCAGCATCTACCTGTTTGCACCACCAGGACTCCTTGAGGAAGTGCACTGTATAAATACCATCCTTCCTATTTTAGTAGATCTGATTAGCAATTATGTACATATGGCATCTATTCAGGTAGTTCACTTTTTAGGGAAATATTAAAGTAGCCAATCAATAAAATGTACTTTGTCACAGAGATCTGTAAATACTTTATAGTATGAACAGGTAAAAATGAAAAGGATTCCTATCCCTAAAGAGTAGTGATAAAAAAAGCTAGAAGAGGAAAACACAGTATTGAACATAAAGTTGTTATTTTTTAAAAACAATTTGTGCCTTAAAAAAAATGTTGGTATTGATCAGGAAACTTGGAGAGCTAACATTCCTTTTAGTTTCTGAACTTCTACTCTCCATTCTTCTCCCTAATACCACTTGTCTTGTCCTTTTTTAAACATTTTGTTAGGGTAATTGTCAACATTAACCAAAGGAAAGGAAAGGAAATAGTGTAACAACCTCTGAACCCGGTGGGCCTTTGACTCAACTTATGCTTCAACAGTATGACTTTCTGCCTGTCCATCTTGTCTCTGCATGTGCACAAACACTCACTCACTCCCCCAGTCTCCTAGTATATTTTAAAGCAAATACCAGATATCATGGCATTTCTCTTGAAAAATATTTGGTATATATCCTTACATGATCAGCATCATGTCTTTTTCATAACTACCAAAATTAACAATGAATCCTGTATGTCATCTCTCTCCAGTCTACCATCAAGTTTCCCTGTTGTCTTACATATGCCTTTTTTTTTTTTTACTTTTTATTGTGAAATGAGTGAAGGTCTACAAAGCAGATTATCAGTTTTACATTCAACAAATCCTATACTTTACTTCATTACATGGTTGCAGTCCCTTTCATGTTGTTGTTGTTGTTGTTAGGTGCCATCGAGTCGGCACCGACTCATAGCGACTTATGCACAGCAGAACGAAACACTGCCTGATCCTGGGCCAACCTCACTACTGTTGCTACACTTGAGTCCATTGATGCTGCCACCTGGCCAGTCCATCTCGTTGGGGGTCTTCCTCTTTTCTCTGACCCTCCATCTTACCAAACATAATATCTTTCTTCAGCGACTGGTTCCTCCTGACAATATGTCCAAAGTATGAGAGAAGAAGTTTGGCCATCTTGGCCTCTAAGGAGCACTCTGCCTGCACTTCTTACAAAACAGATCTATTGGTTCTTTTGGCAGCCCATGGCACTTTCAATATTCTCCTCCAACACCATAACTCAATGGCATCAATTGTTTTACAGTCTTCCTTATTCACTGTCCGGCTTTCACATTCATATGAGGTTATTGAAAATACCATGGCTTGGTTCAGATGCACCTTAGCCCTTAAGCTGACATCTTTGCTCTTCAACACTTTAAAAAGGTCTTGTGCAGCAGATTTGCTTAATGCAATATGTCATCTGATCTCTTGACTGCTGCTTCCATGAGTGTTGATAGTTGATACAAGAAGAATGAAGTCCTTGCCAACTTCAGTCTTTTCTCCATTGATAAGAATGTTGTTTACCTACAGTTAATGGAATTTACCTCTACTCACTTAACTATTACATTCCTCCTTGTGTCTCTAGCTACCTTCATCTTTCTTCTGATAACTGCCTTCTTGTTGTACATTGCCTGCCCTGTCACTCATGTAAATATGTTTACCCTCTAGCCCATAAATAATTTTCCCTCTCCTTTCCCGCCCTCCCCCCTTATAGATTGTTTCTTTTATCAATAAAACCTTTCTTTAAACTTTTTACCATATTTGTCTCATACAGTGTTTGTCCTTTTGTTATTAACTACTTTCACACAGCATAATGTCCTTCAGGTTTAACCATGCTGTGATATGTTTCACAGATTCATCATTATTCTTCAACATTTTGTTGTATTCCATTGTGTTTATGTACCAGAGTTTGTTTAGCCGTTCTTCTGTTGATGGGCATTTATGCTGTCTCCATCTTTTTGTTATGTCTCTTGTAGTCAGCATATTGAAACATCCTGTTTTCTTACCTTTTCTGCACTTTCTGTCTCTTGACTGGTACATTTAATCCATTTACATCCAGTGTAATTATCAATAGGTATTAATTGATTGTTGTCATTTTTCTATGTGTTTTTTTTTTTGTGTGTGTGTGTGTGTGTGGTACTGCTGGATTCTTTGTTCCACATACTTTTCTATGCTGAGTTCATTTTGTTTGTGGGTTTGTCCTTTTCATTTCTGTTGTGTTAATGTTTAGTAAATGTTTTTGCTATTTCTCTTTTTTGTATTTTGATGTTCAGGTGTATCATTTTTCTTTTGAGCTTACCTTATAATTTAGTACTTTTTCCCCATGCTTAAGTAGTCTGATCTTGAAATCTAACTGACTTCCTTGTCATTTGGTATCTGTATCTATACTATTCTGTATCTACACTATTCCCTCTTTTTGCTTCGTCATTGTTTTTGTTGTAATGTGCTATGGAGTCGGTTTTGCTTTGTAGTTGACTTCATTATACATTAATATCTCTGGATCCCTATTTTTCAGTCTTGTAGGTTTGTTTTACTTTAAATACTTCTGTATCTGAATTGAGTTCTAGATGGTTGTATCATGTGTGGTAATCTCAGGTTGTTGTCTATTGTTGTTGGTTCTCAGTCCAAAGAACATCCCTTTAGCACTTTTTGTAAAGTTAGTCTGGTCATTAAAAATTCCTTTAATTTCGCCATCATATTTGAGGGACAGTTTTGCTGGGTATCTGATTCTTGGTTGGCAATTTTTTCTTTCAGAGTTTTTTATGTCATCGCATCGCCCTCTTGCCTGCATGATTTCTGCTGAGATATCCGAGCTTAGTCTTATTGGTTCTCCTTTGTAGCTGACTTTTTGGTTTTCCCAAGCTGCTCTCAAGATTCTTTCCTTGTCTTTGATTTTGGAAAGTTCATTTATGATACATCTTTGTGATTTTCTTTTGAGATCTATGCTTATCTTCTTGTCTTTCATGATGTTAGGGAAGTTTTCTTCCAACAACCCTTCAACAATTCCTTGGTGCTTATATTTTTCTGTTCTGGAATTCTAATTACCTGTAAGTTGTTCCTCTTTATGGTGTCCCGCATAACTCTTAGGCTTTCTTTGGATTTTTAATTTTTTTTCCTAATTGTTCTTCTAGCATACTAGTATTGAAAAGCTGAACAGAAAATTTCAAAGATCAGCTCAAGAATATAAAGCCAAATATTATTATAAAATGTGCAAAGATTTGGAATCAGAAAACCAAAAAGGAGGAACACGCTCAGCATTTCTCAAGCTGGCGGAACTGAAGAAAAAAATCCAGCCTCCTCTTTTGTTACTGAAGGATTCTCTGGGCAAATAATTAAATGATGTAGAAAGCATCAAGAAAAGATGGAAGGAATGGAATACACAGAGTCACTGTACCAAAAGGAAATGGTTAATGTTCAAATATTTTAAGAGGTAGAATATGCTCAAGAGCCAATGATACCGAAGGAAGAAGTCCTAGGTACATTGAAGGAATTGGCAAAGAACAAAGCACCAGGAATTGATGGAATAAACATTGAAATCTTTCAAGAAAGTGAGGTGGCACAGGAGGCACTCACTTATCTCTGCCAAGAAATTTGGAAGACAACTATCTGGCCAACTGATAGGAAGAGATCCGTATTTGTGCCCATCCCAAAGAGAGATGACCCAACAGAATGCGGAAATTATAAGACAATCTCTTTGCTATCTCATGCGAGTAGTTTTACTAATGGTAATACAGAAATGGCTGAAAGCATACATTGACAGTGAACTTTCAGAGGTTCAAGCTGGATTCAGAAGAAGCCGTGGAACGAGGGATATCACTGCTGATGTCTGATGGATCTTGGCTGAAAGCAGAGAATATCAGAAAGATGTTTACCTGTGCTTTATTGAATACACTAAGGCTTTCAATTGTGTGGATCATGACAAGCTATGGACAACATTGCAAAGTATGAGTATTCTGGAACACTTAATTGTGCTCATGAGGAATCTGTACCTGGACCAAGAAGCAGTTGTTCAAACGGAACATGGGAACACTGAATGTTTTAAAATTAAGAAAGGTGTGTGACAATATTGTATTCTTTTAACGTATGTATTCAACCTGTATGCTGAGTAAATAATACAAGAAG